TTATTATTTATTATTTATTATTTATTATTTATTATTTAGTATTTATTATTTATTATTTATTATTTGTTATTATTATTTATTACAATCTTTTTTATAGGAAAAAAGAAAAGATGCTTATTTCAAAAATGTCCTTAAATAAACTAAAGATTTGATCATAAAATTGGTAATTTAGTTAAAAGATACCGTATATTGCTAGTAAAATCTTCAAATTAAATTAAACCCGCATTATTTCTATTCATTTCTAGCATGATTATCGGGTCTTTACAACATTTTCACTGTATTAAAGTGTAAAATTATTGTTCCAATTAAAATTTCTTAAATAAAATTTTTCAACAGAAACAATTATTCCTTGATTTCTTTTTAAAATAGCTACAAATATTTACGGTAGGGAATAATAATTTATCATAAAATTTCTCAATTATTAATTACAGGAAGCAGTAATTGGCATTCCGAATTTTTGGTTTTATTCTTATTCCTTCGAAAAAAAATAAAAGATTGATATGACGAAATAATTGAAAGATTATGCTCAATGTTTGTCTCTAAATAATTTACACCAAAAAAAGGGTTAAAAGAGGGAAATGTTTGTCAATTTTATTAGCTTTTTTTTTTGAATTTCTTTTTTGTGGTAAAAATTGAACATTTATTGAACTCTTCATCGATATGACAGGGAAATGATTAAGTTTTAAATTTTTTCTTGAGAGAAGGAGAGGGAAAGAGAAAAAGTGGGAGACGACAGCAATTCAAATTTTCGCAATTTTAAATGTTCTTTTTTTTAAAGCATACAAAGAAAAAGATAGCAAATATTTCATGATCGAGAATGCAATATAATTAATATCCATCTAATAGTTATCCTCTTTTAATTCTTTTTCATGCAAATTAATTAGAAATCAAAGTTTTGCTGATATTTTTTGAAAGTTAAGGATCAAAAATCTTTTCATTTATTCATTTTTGGTCTTTTCAATTTCAAAACTTTTCTATCTTGAAATTCTTAATTTTTTTCTTCTGTAGAAACAATATTAAGCAAAAATTTCTGATTTCTTCTTTATTGACAAATATTTTCTAATTAATGGTACTTATACATAAAATGGAAAAAGGGGACAAACTTGCCTTCCTTTGTGGAAAAATACTTTATTACTTATTTTATGAGAAATGTAACGACAAATATATATATATATATATATTTATATATATTTATATGTGTGTATGTGTGTGTGTGTGTGTGTGTGTGTG